TTTCGCAATATTTAAAAACAATATCAAATACGGCACTTATTGGCATTGTTTCGCAATTTGCGGTAATCCGGTTATTAAACTCTCAAAACTTGTTAATGTATATTCAATTACTGAATTAAATATGAAAACTCCAAATTTACTACTAAAGTAATAAGAATAAGCGTGACACCAACACGGTTCACCCTTAGACGTACAATTTCAAAATTAACAGGTGCCTTGGGACCACCTGACAGCGGTCATGCCCATATGTCGAACTGCCACCTAAGAAACTCACGCAAACCGTACCACACTCTACAACTTTATAAACTATAGGTTAATTTTACAATCCATGGAACTCTTTGATGGTTCTACAAAAAAATATTCGTTCCTGACGCGCAATTGAAGTAAGTCTAATTTTGAATGTCGCGGCTGTTGCGGAAAAGAAGAAATTAATGAATACGCTATTAAATATAAATGTATGTTAAATACCAGTGGTGGCATGCAATTAAGGACGCCCTCTTAATTCAACCCTATTTTGTTCATAGGGACGTGACATGTGCGAAATTTAAAACTATTAAATGTACTTACTACACTTACATACACTTAGTGAATAATGATATTTCTAGATGAATATACAGTACAATGGTGTTAATTATTTACGATTTAATTAGTGGAATTATATTTATAGAACTGTAGCAAGTGTGTAAATGTCGTTATACGTTATTGAAGTTATACTTTTAACGCAAGAGATTTTAATAAATACTATAACAATACGAAAATAACCAAAATGTATAGAGGCGTTAATACGTATAGGTAATATACCGAAATTATAATTGAAAAATTATCCGGAAATGTTAGTACGAATTTATTATTTTTACTCTAAGAACATTTGTCAATAGAGTGTATTATTTTATCTTTTTTTTATGATTTTAATGGGTACTTCATTAAAACAATTTTGACTGTGCTATTTTTGTTTTTCTTGTGTGTACTATTGTAGAACGTAACTATGCTAATGGATCTAATTTTCTTCCGAACGTTATGCGAGTGTTTTATCACATCTTGACATAAATTGTCGTGTTATAAGTAGAATATATTTATTCATCATCGTCATGCAGTCTTCTGTACGATATAAATTTTATTTATGTAGATGACTATTAATATTCTTTAAGTCGCTCAACGTGGCGTGGCGTGGTTTCGAATATAATTTGCTCGAAGTTACAATCTTAAGTCAGTCGAAAAAAGCACGAGTCCATCTCTAATGAAAAAAAAAACAAAAAGCCGTATGGCACCTTTTGTTTACAATCAACTTTTTCAAGGGTCGTGTCGGTACGTTATTTCAATTTCTCAAAAAATGCGAACGGACTAATTTATTACGACGAGGTTAAAATAAACAGGCGTGGCGCGGACAGGCGAGACTAAAAAATATATTATGTTTTTGCGTCACTTCTCTAGAGCTATACAATGATCTATTAAGTGTGTCCTATAAAAATGTTAGCCCTTTATAATAGGAACGCGCTAGTTATTCATGTAATGGAACCTCTCTATACTGTCGTACAGTACAGCCAATAGACCTTTTGCCTACATTCCCTTACTACTTTATGTCCTTCATTGATAAACCGTGGCTATGTTTTAATAGAAATGTCAATATTCAAGGCGCCTAAATAATCGAACTTACTATTTATTCACAGAATAGTCACGCGACTGTTCTACAGGTTGAGTGCGTAAGGCGAAACGCTGCTCGGTGTTGCTATTTAAACAACCGCTTCTCCTGATTACCCGTCAAACTTGTGAAAGTTGATGTTGTAAATAATTATTTCTACTAATAATTATCTCAGATTTGAGACATAAATTTGAAGAAAAAGTGGTTTAAAAGGCAACACTTAGCTTGACAGACAGAAAGTCAGTGGCACCGGGTTGTCTCTTGCTTTACGCGGCTAACCGGCAGTTGTCTCGGCTTTGTTGAATGTACAGGATCAACAACACGTTAAAATCGACCCATAAGACTTAAATTAAACTCTATACCTCTTACTATAAGAGCGGTCCAAAGTTCAAAGTGTCAAACTCGATGTGGCTGAGCATTGCGTTAGAGATGTCCGTTCTGACTCTATACTCCGTTTGCTATTCTAAAATAGTCTAAGTAAAGATTTGTACACAAAATACAAACCCTTGATAATTTTGCCAAAACTCTTGCAATTGTGGCGACTATTTGTTTCACTTGTTTGTTATAATGTTTAAAAAAATGTAGATGTCATTTATCACGTTGATATGAGAAAAAATGTAATAAAAAAAAAAACAGAGAATAACCATACCACTAATACTCCGGTGTTTCAGAGATTTGTGATATAGCATTCCGTTGAATGAAAAAATTCCGTATTATTCACAGATCGTCGTAAACTGGTCCAAGTATACGCGATATGACTGACAAAGGGTGACGACGCGCATTCGACGTTAAGACAAAACGGGACGCGACCATGACGGATCCAGCATCTTTGACGTTAAAAGATTTTTTGATTTATTAACACAAAGAACATAAACCTAAATAATCGTTTAAGATTTGGGTGCACAAAAATTATCTTATAATCACATGTACTTAACATGTGATTATGTACCAAATTTGTTGAACGATAAGTCTCACTTATGTTACAAGATGTCTGAGAGACGCTGAAAGTGCTGATGTATATATTTCAAGCACGTTTGCCGTAAGCTTAAAGTGTAAAGTATAATATTACTATGAAAGTTCTGTAACACCGAAGTATCCGTCGTGTGACTGTTAAATCCAATTCAAATAATTTGCGGTGGCCAGTGTGGAAGTCCTTAAATCGACTTCGCACTCAAGTAAGTCGCTGCAGAGACAAGATGTGTAAATGGGGTTTAAGGGATGCTAGTCTAACTCATTGTGACTACATTGCCCGAATACAGTCCATGCAGCACTTACTTTAAGATCTCTACGCGGCGACGGATAACACAGTCACGGTGGCAAGACAACATGATATTCAAAGTCAATGTAGTCCTCAATAAAGAAGTATCGACACAATATAAGAAGAAGAATTCAAATAGTCTTTATAGAAGCCACAACCTATTATAACATGTAGTAGTATTAAAATGTCTACCTTTATCGCATGAATTTCCAAAGCCAGTGTCTTTATGAGAAAATGACATAAAAAAGCAAGTTGTATAGAACATTACTTGTTGTTCGGTTACAGGATTTCGTCAAGTTACGAATGGATGTACGCATGTACTTTAGCCACTTGGACTCGACGATTACCTATCACAAGCTAGAAACAAGATTTACAGAATTTTGTTTCTCCGAAAATCTTTAGATTTTTATTGAATAGATTTTGTTTCATTTGTCCGAAAACATGTTACGGTTTTTTTCATTACACCATTTAATGTTTTATTACTATTTTGACATCTTGTCAAGTTATTCTTTTCCCGATTTGTATTTCCCCAACAAAACGTTTGACTAATGTCTGATTGATGAAATCTAATTGAACATTTTTATTTTGTAAAAAAACGATATTCATGATTCATTTTTGTTATATTATTTCTTATTACAGATATTAATAGTATTAGAACGTATCACACAATACAACTCGTCAAATTAAAGCACCTCGCATCTTTAGAAAATATGGTAAACGAGATGCTAGTTAATTTGATCGAGTTGTAGTCGCTTGCTTCGCTCGTTCGGATCGTGGTGCTTTTTTATACACTAACCTAACCTAAACCTACTGGAGGGGGTCGTACCGTCTAGGTCATGTAAACAAATTCGGTTCTGGCACTCGCCGGCCGCTGCTGCGGCACGCTGACCATGCTCGCTCGGTTTGTGTAGCTTTTTCGTATACTAACCTAACCTAAACCTACAAGAGGGGATCATGCCGTCTAGGTAATGCAAACAAATTCGGTTCTGACACTCGCTGGCTGCTGCTGCGGCACGCTCGCTTCGCTCGTGTCGCTCGCTCGGCTCGAGAGGCTTTTTCATAAACTAACCTAACCTAAACCTACAGGAGCGGTCGTACTGTCTAATGCAAACAAATTTGACTCTGGCACTCATTGAACAGTGTTGCCATTTTGGATGATAATTCTGCAACCATTCCAAAGGAGAAATATTTTCCAAAGAAATATTATAATGAAATAAACAATTATTAAAGTTCTATACAGAAATCATGTAAACGCTACACTCGACCATCCTGACAACGTGTTTCATACACGTGCCAAGTGGCAACCCTACACTACCAGGCCATCATAAGACAATGACCATTAAACAAAACTCATTCAAGTATTATTTGAAAAATAAATATTTATGAAAAATATAGATTGATGTATAAAAAGCAATGTAAGTATAGAATAAATGATTTTATACAAACAATATTGCAAACAGAAAGTTTTATAATAATTGTTCATAATAATTATATGTGCTCAACTACGAATGATGAACCTATTCGGCATAAGGCTAAGTTCTATGTGCGAAGCTATAATGATGTAATAAAGTCATATTTACAATAAATCCCCTTTTTTTAAATAAGAAAACAATAGTATTGGAATAACATAACATAACCTTAGTGCATCAAGTATTTTCTTACGAAATTTTGAAATATTTATATATATAATAATCTAGTTCGTACATATGTTTATTTATACAATAAACATCTTACATACATACGTACATAAAATTTACATTATCATACAATAAACAGTTTCTACAATTTGAATGCATTACAGTACTAAGTAAAAATATACATTTTCAGAATAATATAATAAATTAAGCGAACCAATCAATCTTCGCTAAAATAGTTAACAAAAAAATCGCTCATACTTTAGCCTACTACTAAGCTCATAGGTACTAGGAATTACTTACTCATTGGACTCTACTAACAATAGTTTGATTTAGGCATACAGAATGCCTTTTATGTCAGTGCCAACTCGCGAACCAATCAACCTTCGCTGTCGGTCATCTACACCTTCTTATGAATACTTAGAATCACTGAAGTCGGGCTCTACCAACAATATCTTGGCATACATACCTTTATTATTACAATGCTAACACATGAACCATTCGACCTTCGTTGTCGGTCGCCGTTGTCTCTTGTATCGACCAGTTCGCAAGTCAATTGATCCTTACGGCCAGACTGAAACAGAAACAAAATCTCTGCATTAACATTACGTAAATGGACTTGCTCTGCACCAGCAAAGTACAGTCCAGAATTTTGTAGCTGTACGGTGAAATTGTATGGTGGTACAATTTTATCTAATAATAATTTTGTCGAAAAGAATTTTCAGCAATTTAAATTATGTGGAAAACAGACAGTATAACAAACATGATTAGACCAAACAAACTTCTACCCAAGGAATACGTATGTGTAATAATTATTCTAACAATAGGTTTTCCGACAAACGATACTTCTGCTGTAAGATATTTCTGTGATTTATACCAAGACTGTCATCGCGCTAATGAAAAAAAGTCGAACCGTTTTCGGAGTATTGAAATTCGGAAAAAAGAAATTCGACTTTGTGATAGGTTACCGGACTCGACGTATGACGTATGATGACAAACATGAATCGTCATGTTTGTTTTCATACATTACTACTTCATATGTCATAATCCTCATGTTAGTCTTCATATATTACTACTTCATACGTCGAATCCGAGTGGCTAAAGTACATCCGTACATCGGTTCGTGACTCGACGAAATCCTGTAACCGAACAACTAGTAGTTTTCTGACGTTTCGAACTGCGTTATCAAAAGAGTGTCCCCTCTGCGGAAGCTCTGTGGCCGAGCCTAATGAAACCGAAGGCTTCATTAATAGAATGATTGAAATCGCCATATGTTGGATATGATCGGAGGTTTCCGGCCTTCGTCCTAATGCGACGTATCTAATAGACGAGGCCTTTGAGAGTTAATGAGATTGATGTGCTTTCTATAAACCTTTATTTCTACTTGATTATCGTATTCTTGGAAGGTAATTCTGTAAAATCAATTCATGTATGATTGAGTTTTGTAAGATTTATCAATTCAATTCAATTCAATATTCTTTATTGCACAATAAACAACCAAAAATACAATACAATCAAAAATACAGTGTACAACAGGCGGCCTTATTGCTAAATAGCAATCTCTGCCAGGCAACCTTGGGGTGATAGGATAAACTAAAAGTAGTAATAATAATAGAGGGCGCAATAAATATGATATTATTATTAAACATCATAATATATGAATGAAATAAATAATAAATATCTACTAACATATAAATTACATAAATACTTAAATACTAATATAATACATACAAATAAATATATTATCACCACAGAAGAGGAAAATAAAAAAAATATAAAAAAAACCAATAAATAAGAGAGCAGAGTAGAATTTATAATTTAAGGTAATGAGCCTTAACTAGGATTTTAAATGACTCAATAGTCTTTGCTCGTCTGATCGACTCAGGCAGGTCATTCCACAGCTTGATGCTCCTAATAGTGAAGGAGTTGGAAAAGTATTTTGAGGAATGGATAGGACAGTTCAGAGAAAGAGTAGAAGAAGAGCGCAAGGTGCGAGGGAGAGTACTGCTATGATATTCAAAACAATTCTTAAGATAAGCAGGAGAAGTTGGATTAAAAAGGACAGTGTACAGTAGGGATAAAACGCGGAGATCTCTACGACGACGAATGGGTAGCCATCTAAGTTTCGAGCGAAAATCGGAGACGTGGTCAAATTTACGTAACCCAAAAATGAACCTAATGCAAAGATTCTGCAGCCGCTCTAGTTTGCCGAGGAGACATTCAGACAAATCAGGATAGCACGCATCTGCATAGTCCAGAATAGGCAAAAGGAGTGATTGTGCTAAACTGATTTTCGTCGGAATGGGAAGATAATTACCTAAACGCCGAAGAGACCCATGCGCAGCAAATACCCTCCTACTCAACTCCGTGACATGAGGCCTCCACGATAAGCACTTATCGAAAATAACCCCAAGGTTCCTAACGGTGGCACTGAGTGGGATTTGAACGCTATCAAACGTGATAGGTGGCAGTAAGGAAGGATTAATACGCGTTAGGAACCAGGGGCTGCCAATGATTATACATTGTGTTTTGGAAGGGTTGACACTGAGACCAAATGATTGACTCCAGGTGAGAATCCTCTCAAGATCTATATTCGTAGCACAAATTGCGTCACGTAAGTTGGTTAGAGGGGCCTGTGTATATATTTGGAGATCATCTGCATAGAGATGGTAAGAAGAAGAAAGTGAAGAAGTGATGGAGTTAATAAAAATAGAAAATAGAAGAGGGGATAATACGCCGCCCTGCGGTACACCAGCAACAACATTACACCACGAAGAGAATGAATCCTCGCAACGAATGCGCTGCCGCCGCCCATACAGGTAACTGCGGAACCAGCCAGTCACTGCCGGAGAAATGCCAAGAGAATCAAACAGCGCAAGCAACAAGTCGAAATCAACGGTGTTGAAGGCACTGCTGAAGTCCAACAGAGTAAGGACGGTGAGTTGATGATTCTCCATTCCCAGTCGAATGTCATCAGAGATTTTGACAAGAGCAGTAGTCGTACTATGTCCAGAGCGGAAACCGGATTGTAAAGGATTAAAAAGATTGTGACGAGTAAGGAAAAGGGTGAGTTGATGATGGACAAGCTTTTCAAGGACCTTGGAGAGGAAAGGGAGAATGGAAATAGGGCGATATTCAGAAAGGGAAGTGGGATTCGTTTTCTTTGGAAGAGGAATGATGTGGGCATCTTTCCAAGCAGATGGAAAGGTACCAGTGGAAATGGATGTATTAAGGATTTTGGTTATGACAGGAGTGAGGATATCAATGAGCGGAATGATCATATTACGACTAATGCTATCACAACCAACGGCATTCGATGAGATGGAGAGAATGTTCCTCTTGACATCACCAACAGTGAACTGGCTGAGTTCAAAAGAAGGAATATTAGGTAATGGCAATTCAGAAAGAAATTGCAGAGTATCTGACTTAACCTTGTTATCAATAGAAGAAGAAGAGGAGAAGTGAGTATTAAGGAGATTAAGGTCAACGTCAATAGAAGTTTTGCTATTAGGAACTTTTCCAATACCTAAAGATTTCAAAAACCTCCAGACCTTCGCTGGGTCCCCGTTTTCAACGGATTTATGTACATGACGACGTTGTGCATCTCTAATAATAGTGTTACAGCGGTTTCGAACTTGATGATATTTTTCCCGATTGGCATCAGACGGGTCGGCTCTAAACACTATTTTAGCCCGGTTTTTGATGCCCATATGCTTGCGGATAACATCATCGAGCCAAGGAGCAGGAAGGTGCTTGACGCGCACAGGACGAACAGGAGCATGGATATCATACAGTTGGATGAGCGAGGAATTAAAAAGTTGCAACTGTTCATCAACTGAATCGGCCTGTTCAATAACTGACCAGTCCATGGCACTGGCATCCCCACGCAGTCTGGT